CCAAGAAATGAGTTAATTTAGTAAACTGTTGTATGAAGGAGGTCTACTGTGATCCCTGTGCATTCTCCTATACAAGCTAGATCAGCAATAATGTAAAGTGCAGTCTGGGGATGATGGATGCTTTAGTCCAGGGGTAAGCTGGCTCAGGAATTCTGGGAATTGAAGTCCACGAGTCATAAAAGAGCCAAGGCTGACTACCCCTGCTTTAGTCCAATTATCTCGAATGGGGAAAGGAGGCTACTGTAGACATTGCCTGAGCTGTGTATAGCTGTCTCACTGAGGTCACAGGGGAACTCGGAGGAAATATTAATTTGTTGCTTAATGTTTTGCCACCTCAGAACGATGATGCTCTCCTGGGCCTCAGTCTGAAACCCAAACACCCCACCTATTGTCATGTCCCATCAGGGAAAAGCATACACGTGATCGCTTCGGCAGCACATATACCAAAATTGGAAAGATACCGGAAAAGCATGCGCAGCTAAGGCAGTGAACATAGCCTGGCATCAGCTGGTTCTCCAAACAGGCTTCTGAGACTAATTGGCTCCCTGGACACACAATGCTCGCCTTTAAAGTGCCCTGTTGTAAGCCAACTGAGTCATCACAATGGGATATGTTTGTTGGAGGGACTCCCCCGGTTGACTTTTCCCTTCCCTATTCATCTTGCAGTCAAATATCCTTCTGTTTTGAGAAAAAGCTTGTTTGCAGACCACCCTGGCCAGGGCAGAGGTTGGTACAATCCTGGCCTCCTTCAGAGGAAACATGGGAACAAACAGCTTATCAGGTCCTTAGAGGGATCATAAATAGCCTGAGAAAGTTTCAGGGAGATAAATAAGCATACATGCCCTCTGCTTTCTTCTCAATATAATGGATAAGAGGCAGGACAGTACTGGGGAGGACATCATGGTCCATCACGATGTAAAAACTACCAGATTCCACCAGTTTTGTTAACCTTAAAAATGATGGGGATTACGTCAGAAGCTTCTGCAGCCACGTTAAGTGTTCTGGGATAGGGACAAACAAAACAAAACGAGATTTTATTTTAACTTTACAGCAAAGAGACATCTCGGGGGGATTTTAATTTAATTACAGTACCGGCATGGAATTATCCCAAGAAAATGGCACCCATGGAAAGCTGGTCTTACATTCATGGCAATCACAACTCAGATCCTGTCAAAAGCACCCTCTCTGGATTTGTATCGATGGGGAACACCTCCCTTCCCAATTGTTAGGCAGCATTATCCTTTCTCTCCTTTGTTACAATCCAGAGGTCCCCAACCTTTTCGGCACCAGGGACCGGTTTCGTGGAGAGAGGTTTTTCCGCGGACCGGAGGCTGCACAGTTTTGTGTGCTGCCTTCATCCAGCGAATGGGGCTTTGCTTGTTTGTGCAGACTGGTTGCTGGCACGCCATGGGCCGGTATTGGTCCACAGCCCGGGGGTAGGGGACCCCGGTTACAATCCATTCCATGCAATGCTTTCCTTTAAAAAGGTAAACATTTCCTGTCTGTCCAGTCATGTCTGACTCTAGGACAGGGGTAGTCAACCTTGGCTCTTTTATGACTCGTGGACTTCAACTCCCAGAATTCCTGAGCCAGCACAGCTTTCCTTTAAATACTTTCTGACACTAACAAAATAAACAGGTAGCACACAGAAATGCCCCCAGGTTTGACCTCACCTTGCACAAAATCCCTTCCGGTGATCTCTTGATCTTATCCTAGTTACTCCACCACTCTGCCCAATGATCTCCCACACAATTTCTTTAGGCCAGGCTGGTCATAAACAAAATTCTTATCCCCTTGGCTGATGGAGCATGTCTACAGTCATAGCGCTATCACTATCACCACCTGCCTCCTCTCCCTAGATCAGACATGTCAAACACAAGGCCTGGGGGCCGGATGCAGCCCGCGAAGTGGTTTCATGTGGCCCGCGAAGCCATCTTGGAAACAGTGAGGGAACGGCCCCTTCTGCCTTGGCCCTGGCCCAGGCCAGCCGGGAGCCAATGTACAATTTTGTGGCGGCCATCTATGCTGAAACGCATTCAGTCTTAGCTCCACAAGGCCATCTAGAAACAGCGAGGAACCAGCCCCTGCCGCATCGGCCCCATCCCCTGGGTGCATGCTGGGGAAGTGTCACCCTTTGTGAGGAATGAAGAAATGGACCATGCCTTGGCACTTTCCCTGGTCCCATCCCCTTCTGCCAGAGACCCTCAGATCTGTCCCACTCCTGCCCAGGCCCCAACAGGCACCCTTGAAGTGAACGATGTAGAGCTGGCCATGCCCACCCAGTAGGCCACACCCACTCCATCCACACCCACCCAGTAGGCTGCACCCACCCTGACTACACCCCCCGCCCCCCCGAGGGCAACCGCAATGCTGATGCGGCCCTCAATGAAATTGAGTTTGACACCCCTGCCCTATATAGTGGGGGCCTAGATACAGACCCAACAATCCCACATTCATGTTGCCATTAGGGATATAGACGGAAGGCAGAAAGTAATCCCTACCTGCCTAAAATAATTGCTCCCCATTGCAATCCAGAAAAGTGTTTATAATTAAGTGTTTAAAGGAGTTGCTAATTGCACTGTTAAATTAACATCTAGCCACCCCTCAGTGATGAAGTTGAAGTGGAAAAGAGGCCAGCTTGCTACTAAAAGATGCACTTCGTGTGTAAAACTTCCAAGCGGTGGCTTCCCTGGGTAAAATAAAGCCTCAAACGGCAACAAAATGGGACAATCCTGGAATTGTTCTGGGAGACCTTAGATGCCCAAACAGTCCTAAACAAGTTGAATTCCAAGGTCAGGTTCAACACAAGCGGCGCCTCATATTCCTCTGAAAAAGTTTTCATCAAAAGGAAGGGTCAGCCTCTCTCAGTCAAATCTGACAGTTTTTAGCCTGTGGTATAGCCAATATCTTGGCAAAGTTAACCAGCACTACGTGGGAGGGAAAAACAGAAATGTTAAGTTCTGTGCCAAAACCACTGGCTGACCTTCTCCTTTCTGCTGCAGTTGGGAAACATGGAAAGAGATGACCAGCAGCAAGGTGGACAGACTGAGTTACAGTGGTGATGGGTGCACCATTGAAAGACCAGGTTAGGGACAGATCACCATGGCGAAAGCCTATCTAGGTGGTCACTAAGAGTCTACACCAGTGATGGCGAACCTTTTAGAGACCGAGTGCCCAAACTTCAACCCAAAACCCACATGCATCATCGGGTGCCGGGTGGGTGTGGCCCATTGGGTGGGCGTGGCTGCGGTGGTAACAGCAGACTGGGTGGGACTAAAAAGTTCAATCAATCAATTCCAACTTTGCAAGATCTTTTTTCCCGCGAGAAGTTGAAATTGACTGATTGATTGAACCTTTTTTTTTGTACACGGCAGCGGAGGCCTAAAGCGAAAAGGTTTTATAAAACCCAGCTGAAGGCCTAGGACTGGGGCGACGGCGCGCGTGCCCACAGAGAGGGCTCTGAGTGCCGCCTCTGGCACCCGTGCCATAGGTTCGCCACCACTGGACTACACCAACTTGATGGCACATAACCAACCGATCCTTAGCCAGAGATTTTCTGGGCATTGGATTAAAACTACCATCATCCTTTGCTGGCAAGGGCAAACCCTGAAGGGAATCATGTTTGGAGAAATCTGAACCTCAGATTCCTTCTTCTTCAATCCGTTTGCCTTCCCCAAACTGACAGCGCACACCCATTTTATGCCTTGCTTTTCCTCAAGGGGGATCTAGCCTGTTCCATTTGTGGAATGCAAAAGAGCCACTCCTTCACCTGCATACCTGCTTTAAAAGAGATAATTAGCAAATTGCAGAAAAGGATTAGCGTTGAATTTCCTAATGTTCCCTTCACATTTCCTTTCCTTAAGTCAAGTACCTGCGTGCAGAAACATTTAGTCCTATCAGATACTGTCAGCCTTATCAGGTAGATCAGATAGAAAACATATTAGCTAATTCTACTTTACTGTAAAACAACAATAAAAGTTTGCAAGTCTGAAGGTACAATTCTCCTGCAGTCTCCTTTACAATCCAAGAAACTAGGCAGGGCCTTTTTTGAATCTCTTGCCCTTTCCATTTCACAGCTGTGGGCTATGCCGTCTCTTATCTGACCATTCCCTAGTCAGCGTCTCTTTGTTCCGTCTCCCAAGGCCTTTCCCACATACCACTATGGATACTTCTGTAGTGACTCTATTGATACAGCTTCTTCTCTACCAGCCTCTAAATTCACCTTTGCTTTACCGCACTTGGATTATGGCCAGATACTGGATACGAGCTTTCTTTTCAAGGAAAAACTTTGTAACTCCTTATATTTATGCTTAGGGACATAAAACTACAGATTCTACATTGAGAAATGGGTATAGGGAACAGACATGATAAGTGAATGCTCTTGAAGCTAAATCTGTATTTCAAAAAAGACTTCAGCTTGCATCAAATGATTAAAATAATCTCACCAATTAAAGGTAAAAGCTATTGATTTTTTTTTTCCTTAGGGCCTTCAAATCAGTGTTCTCCTGCCAACTGCCCGGACAAGTCTCTTCAATTTTCTTGGCAAGATTTCACAACTGCTTGTCTTCATCCTAGATTTGAGAGACAGACTTGTCCAAGGTCAGCCACTGGCTTTCTGCCTAGTGTAGGACTAGAATCCACCGTCTCTCAGTCTCTATTCTAATGAGTTAGGATTTCTTTTTCATTAAGGCAGAAATAATGACCCTTTTATCGTCCCTTCAGAATTCTAGAATGGATGTTATCTTTTTATTTGAAATCCCCAATAAATTGTTTTAAAAAGTGAACAAAACTTAAAATAATAAGTTCCTCCCACGGTTTTTAACCTAATGGCTCTTTCCCTTTCCTCCCCCCACCCTCTTTCTCTATTTTTGTCCTTATAATAGTACTTACTGCAGTAAATATTATATGAGCTTTCCTTAATTAAATTTGCTAAGCAATCAGTCTCTGTGCAGTAAGCAAACTTATGGGATAGATGTGACTTCCTAAAATATTAGCTCTGCATTTAATAGGATTCCACACAGCCATTCAGCCGTTTGATAGTGGTAAAATGCCAAAGGCACGTCAAACTCGGGCTGATGTATCCCGTTAAAAGCTATAAATGACAAGATACACATTTTTAAAGATTATCTCATCCAAATAACATTAAAACAAATAAAATTTGCTGGGCTTTTCCTCACCCATAAGTCTGTAAAGATAGATGGCAAGCTCTATTATCAAGCCTGCAGATTCCTACACATGACTAGTATTTGGCAGTGAACAAAAATGGCATCTAAATCCCAAATGACACTCTTAAGCACTTTTAAAAGTATACAGTATACAATTAGGACACCTAAATTGAAGGTAACAATGTGTCTACAGATCATAGTAAATAATAATAATAATAATAATAATAATAATAATAATAATAATAATAATAATAATAATAATAATAATAATAATAATAATAATAATAATAATAATAATAATAATATAATGCAATAATAATCTTTGTAAAAAAGCACCAAGCTGCTTTTAAAACCACAGATTGGCCAGGCCGCTGGTTTAGGAAGGAAAAGTCTCCTCTGGAGATTGTTGCAAATATACAGAATGAATGAAAAGCACATGTGTGTTCATATAGAATCGCATGACATGAAAGCGTCGCAAATGTTTCTTCCCTTAGCGCGGTTCACAGCCTCATGTTTTTGGTCAACAGAGGACCCCCCCCTTGCCTACCCATCCCCTTATAATAGATTAGACTGCATCAGCTTAACCCTCCTCCAGGTGTGATGGGGTGTTGTTTTTTTTCCAACTCCAACAAGGCCCAGCCAGCAATGCCAACTTATGGGAACGGAAGTCCGATTTATAAGGGACCCACACCTTGGAGAAGGCCCATCCAGGCAACCAAAAAGCAGCAGCAACTGGGTGGTTTGGTGGATGGGTTCCCTGGGGGAATGGGGGTGGGTGGGCTTGCTTTGGTTGAAGAATGCAGGGGAGGAGGGGGGGAACCTTCCCCAGGAGCCTGACTGACTTGCAGCTCTCTTCCTAAGCTGCAGTCCAGGGTAAAACATGACTTTGCATGCAAAGGGGCTTAAGAGCTGGATTCCGAAGCGATCTCTTCCAGACCAAATGCAACCCTCTTTTCCTTCTTTGCATCCCCCACAACCCCAATAAACTCTCCCATCTTGTCCAGAACCGCGCATTTCCTGCAAGGGCTCTTTGCAGAAAGGCAGGCAAGATCTGGACTTCGTGGGAGTGGAGGGGGGGGGGAAGCAGGGGTTGCATTGCCTGCCTCCTGGACCCAGTGCAAGAGGACCCATCTCGGGTGCAAGAGGACCCATCTCCTCTTGCACCCGAGTGGGACATCCCACGACAGCTGCCTGCTTTCTCCACGGAAACGCTCTTCTTTCGCCCTCCGCGCCACCCCCCCCACCCTCACCCCCACGTCCCGTTCCCGCCGCCGAGAGCCTCCTCACCTGCGGCTCCACCAGCCACCTCTCCTCCTTCTCCTTCTCCTTCCCCTTCCCCTCCTCCGCCTCCTCTTCCTCCTGCCCGGCGGGGGCTGCCCCCTCGGTGTACCGGAACGCGGCGAAGAGCGGGATCTTCTCCCGCGTGCTGTAGAGGGTGGCGAAGCGCGGCTCCCCGCGGTACTTCTGGCAGATCTTGGCCACCTGCTCGGCCGGGAAGCCCGCGGGGGGAGCCCGCTGGTAGAAGAAGACGTCGCATTCGGCGAAGCCCGCCTGGTCGTCGCCCACCACTCGGCCTTGGGTCGAGGCGGCCCAGGCCAGCAGGGCCAGCAGACACGCGGGGAAGGCGGCTCTCATCTCGGCGCCGGTCCCGGGCTTGGCGAAGACGCGGGGAATCCTTCCCCGGAAAGGAGGGAAACGGCCGGGAGAGAGAGAGAGGGAGGGAGGGAGACAGACAGACAGACGCTCCCGCGGAGAGAGTCCCGCGATCCTGGCCGGCGGCTGCGGAGCTTGTGAGCCGTGGAGCCTCTGGGCCGGCCGTGATATAGGAAAGGGGCGCCCGCTGCCAGCCGCCGCGCCTCCTCCAGTCCGAGCGCGCGCGCGCGGCCTCGCCTGCACGTGAGGAACGGGGCTGACTCACGGGCGGGACGGCGCTCTGCACGCGCTCCGCGGCCTCGCGCTCCCCTGGCGAACACCCCCCCCCTCTCTCTTTTTTTTTCTCCCTTCCCCTCTTTCTCTCTCTTTCTCTCTCCCTCTCTCTCTCTCCCTCCCTCCCTCTCCCGCCCGCGCTTTTCTTCCTGTCTGCTCTGCGTCACGGGGCAGCCGGCGGCTCAGCCGGACTTTTTGGCTCCTGGCCATCGCTGGTCGTCAGAACGGGAGGAGGAGGAAGGAGAGAGAGAGAGAAGGCGGGGAATGCTGCAATGCGGTCGGGATCCCCCGACGGGAGAGATTTATTTTTTTCCCCCCCTTTTTTCTGAGGAGTCGGCAGATCAACGCTCCCTGCGGCGCAGCGACCGCGGGCAACGAACGTGCGGCGGCGGCGGCGCTGCGGCTCCCCGAGCAGCCCGAGGGAATCCGTGCCCGTTTTCACACAACCGGCCGTTGGGCCTTGACTTCCCTGGGTGTAAACTTTAGCCCTGATCGGTGCGGTGGGTTTGCGTGCTGGAAGAATCTTCCACGCGTTCAGCCTCCGATTTTCAGACTGAACACGTGTGGCCCAAGCCCTGCGGTCTGTAAGACCCAGCTGATGGATGGTGGAGGAGGCGGCTGGAGTGGAAGCCAGCCAGTTGTATTTTGTGATCAATCGTGGTCAAATAAATCACGATTTAGCATGCCACGGAAACCTTAAAACCGAAGGAGTGAAGAAAATTGGAATCCGTGGGTCTTTGAAGGATTTTGTCACAAGGATCCTGGAACATAAAGCCTTAAATCAGTGTTTCTCAACCTTGACAATTTTAAGGCATGTGGACTTCAACTCCCAGAATTCCACAGCCAGCATTGCTGGCTGTGGAATTCTGAGAGTTGAAGTCCACATGCCTTAAAATTGTCAAGGTTGAGAAACACTGCCTTAAATCCACAAGAGATTTTGACGACAGAGTCCTCCGGATCCCTAAACATGATCCACAGGCAGCAATAGAGGCAATAAGGGTCTTGGCAGAGAAAGGTCATCATCAGTGTATGTCTATGGGGATTCTCAGTCATCCAGGTCATAGTTATCCCAAAGATGCTTTTTTCACGAGGCAACTGGACTTTCTTGTTTTTTCTTTGAAGACGTTTCGCTTCTCATCCAAGAAGCTTCTTCGGCTCTTCCATTCCCCGCCATCCAGTCAGAGCTGAAGAAGCTTCTTGGATGAGAAGCGAAACATTTTCAAAGAAAAAACAAGAAAGTCCAGTTGCCTCTTGAAAAAGCATCTTCAGGACAACCATATGTATGTTCTTCTGTAGAACTTCTACGTTGGGCACCATTAGTACCTACAGGTAACCTATGCTTAATGACCCTAATTGGAACCAGCAACTCCATCCTAAGTGAAGGAGTTGTTAAGCAAAACATCACATGACCACCCCACAATGACAGCAGTCTTTAAGCAAATCTTCTGAGGTTGTTAAGCATGACATCGTGTGACTGTGACTTGTGACCTCCGGCTGGCTTCCCCATTGACTTTCCTTGCCGGAAACCAGCCGACAAGGTTGCAAATGGTGATCATGCAACCATGGGACGCTGTGACCGTCATAAATATGTGACCGTTGCCAAGTACTGAATTGTGATCCCATGACTGCAGGGACGCTCCAACAGTCGTAAGTGTAAGGATTGGTTGAAAGTCACTTTTTCCAGCATCATTATAACTTAGCTGCCAAACAAATGGTTGTTAAGTGAGAACTAAATTGAAAATAAAACCCCCTATTGCAGAGACCGAGTGCCCAAAAACTGGCCCCGCCCCTGCTCCACCCCCCATCCCCCACCCCACCTGCCCGCAGGGCCACTCACTGTCTCCAGGGCCCGCCACAGATCACCCAGGCAGCCCAGCAGCGCTATGGCGGTCACGCCCTGTGCCCGCGCCCTGCAGCATCAGTGGTGCATGATGGGGTGTGAGGGCAGAGTCTTGTCTACGCTGCCTGGCTGCCATGTCCTTGGCTGCACTCAGGGACGACTCTCCTTCAGGGGGGCTGTTGGAGAGGAGGGGGTCACGGGGGGGGAGGCGAGGCTGGGACAACGGCATGTGTGCCCACAGAGAGGGCTCCGAGTGACGCCTCTGGCACCCGTGCCATAGGTTCGCCACCACTGACCTATTGTATGTCTTAATGCAGCCTTTCCGAAATTGAAATTCTTGAGATCTTTAAGACTTCATCTCCTATTATCCTCAGCCAGAATAGCCAATGGCAGTACCTTGGAGAAGGCAATTGTGAAACTTTTGTGAACTGTAATAGTGGAATTCGGTGGGTGCAATTTGATAGCTCTGCTTTAAAGAAAATGTTGCACAACTGGAAAAAAAATGCAGGAAAGAATAGCCCAAATTATCTGTCATTCGGGTTGAAGGAAAGTACAGCATTTGGAGTTTTAGCTTAGAAAGCAAAAAAAACGGGGTTGACAGAATTGATTAAATGATGCATTGTGGGGAGTCGGTTGATGTTTGGACAGAGATCATTCTTAGAAACTCATCAGTCTTTCTCATCCTTGAAGAGAAACAGATTTTTTTTAGAAATAGCATAATGACTATCACCAGCCTGGATGGCTTTCAAGGGCAACCAGACAGATTTGTGGAAGATTATTAATGCTTCCGGTTTGTGCCACCGTGAAGAATGGGAGATGAGGTTCTATACACATGATAAGAGTTAGATTGATGTTATAAATCATCTTCCAGTGATTCTAAATCAAGGAAAAGAAATATATCTAAGACCAGTTTATGCAATGCTTTTATTGCACTGAAAACAAAATACTTAGAATGCACTAAAAGCAAAGTGTTTTGTGCACGAGTTCAAAATATACATCTGCTTATTACCTTATCATAGCAGGTGCCGGTGAAAAGAAATGCTTAATAGAATTAATTAAATGGTGCCTGATGGAGCCAGGTCAGGTCAGGCATGTGTGTCCAGTGCTTAGAATGTCATAACTCAGTGACTTGTGTCCTGATGACTCGGCCTAGCAGTGTGATCTCCATTAAACAGCTGTTGTCTTTGACCTAACATCAAATGATCCTTGATCCTTATCGGCAGCCTCCCTTTTATTTCGTCATTTTGTGTTCGCACCACTAAGAAACGTGCGTGAGTACAACGTCTCACTGATAAGCTTCATCAGCAATGTCACCATTACCAAAAAGAGCACGTCTTTTCCAAATTGCTAATTCTCCGTGTCAAAGAACGTCAGGCTCAAATCCAGAAATAACACATGATTATTTTTCCAAGCTAAGCCTTTTATCTCTAAATGGTATAGGTTGGACTAGAAGACCTCCAAGATCCCTTCCAACTCTGTTATTCTGTTACCTATACAGTACACAAAATGTTACCAGACTGAGCGTTTTACTATCTGCATCTACAACAGTGGTTCTCAACCTTTTTAATGCCACGACCCCAACCGGTCATAGGTCGAGGACTAAACCGGTCGTAAGTCGAGGACTAAACCGGTCGTAAGTCGAGGACTACCCAACCGGTCGTAAGTCGAGGACTTTCCCTGCCCGGGAGCGCCGCGCATGCGTGGTTCCGCCCCCTGCGCCGGCCGAGGCGTAGCTGGCAAGCGGCAGAGACAGAGCAGGCCGACCACCAGCTGGCCCAGCCCAAGGGAGGTAAGGCACCTGCCGGAAAAGGGGAAAAAATGGCAGACAAAAAAAATGGCGGACAAAAAAAATGGTGGACAGCCTTGCTTGGCGACCCCCGTGAAATGGTTGATCGACCCCAAATGGGGTCCCGACCCACAGGTTGAGAACCACTGATCTACAATATACTCTGAGAACTGTTAGGGAGAGTATGTCTTCATCTTCTTTCTCTCACACATATCTGGACTAGTTGCCTCTTTTACCTCACTCACCGTGGCCATCTTGCCACAGCCAGTTCTCCATGACCAGCTCACTGTGGAACAATTCACCAGGGGACAAGAGTTACACTAAAATAGAAGAAATGGTGGAATAGAATCATTAAAGGAAGGATGCCAAAGGAGAGACAAAATGAAATGTGAATAACAAAAACTAGAATAATGCTTTATTTTGAATAATTAAATTGAATTGTTGAATTGTCCTGTGGCAAGATGGCCACGGCGGGTTGGCTATGGCGAGTTGTCCCATTCCACTTCATTGGAATCTAGCTCCTTACTACATTTCATCACCAGAAGGACATGTAATTTTGATTATGCACCTACATCATTTGCTAATCCCATCACATATGGTTTCCATGCAGCCAGTGCAACATCATTATTAAGAATCACGTGAGAAATTAAGTATGGAGATCATTTCAGCTTCCATCTTTATCTTTACACCCAATTACAATCCCTGGAGCTTATAATAATTTTGTGGCAGGTAGAAATTCAAAATATGAGGTGTCGTGACTCATTTCTTTTTTCTCCTGTGCTAGAGAAATGGAGCATATGTGAGAATTGTGAGATACGGTGATTGTCTAAAACAGATCAGTTATAAATATTCAGCAAACGTGGTAAAAGTGCTTCCGGATTGTGGTGGGCAGATTGGAGGATAGGATCCAGTTGTTTCCTCTTATGAATTTCTTGCAATAGCGGCAACCCAGAGACAGTTTGCTGGAGTGGTTAAGGTGCTGGCCTGGAAACTAGGAGTCTGTGAGTTCTAGTCCTGCCTTGTACATGATAGCCAGCTGGTTGGCCTTAGGCCAGTCACTCTCAACCCAACTAACCTCACAGG